CCTCAGCAAACTTGCTGAGGGTTCACTGCAGGGTCCATTGTTTTATATAAATTCACAGAGATTTTGGCTCACAACAGTCCCTGTGTAGCAAAAAACCTGATCTATACAGATATAGACATACTGGGACTACTGATATTTCTGTCACAATTAAAAGGAGGAAAAAAAAAAGCCAAAGAAAAGAAAAAGAGAACATAAAAATAGGAGAAATACCAGGAAAAAAATATCATTGGCCCAGAAGTTACACGACGAGGAACTTGAAGAAGAAACAGACACTTTTATTTCCTCCCAAAGAATCCTGGGATTCGTTTCCTCAGAGCATCCTTGAGCTCCTGGTTCCTCAGGCTGTAGATGAGGGGGTTCACTACAGGAGGAACCACCGAGTACAGAACCAACACCACCAGCTCCAGAAATGGAGAGGAGAGGGAAGGGGGCTTCAAATAGGTAAAGAAGGAAGAGCTGAAAAAGAGAGAGACCACAACCAGGTGAGGGAGGCAGGTGGAAAAAGCTTTGAGCCTTCCCTGCTCTGAGGGCATCCTCAGCACCACCCTGAAGATCTCCACGTAGGAGAACACGATGAAAACAAAACACCCCAAAACTAAACAGGCCCCAAAAGCAAGCAGCCCAAATTCCCTGCGGGAGGAGCGTGAGCAGGAGAGCTTGAGGAGCTGGGGGATTTCACAGAAGAAGTGCTCCAGGGCGTTGCCCTGGCAGAGGGGGAGGGAAAACGTGTTGGCTGTGTGCAGCAGAGCATTGAGGAACCCACTGGCCCAGGCAGCTGCTGCCATGTGGACACAAGTTCTGCTGCCCAGGAGGGTCCCGTAGTGCAGGGGCTTGCAGATGGCCACGTAGCGGTCGTAGGCCATGAGGGTGAGGAGAGAAAACTCTGCTGAGATAAAAATGACAAACAGAAAGACCTGTGCAGCACAACCCAAGTAGGAGATGCCCCTGGTGCCCCACAGGGAATTGGCCATGGCTTTGGGGACGGTGGTGGAGATGGAACCCAGGTCGAGGAGGGCGAGGTTGAGGAGGAAGAAGAACATGGGGGTGTGGAGGTGGTGGTCCCAGGCTATGGTGGTGATGATGAGGCCGTTGCCCAAGAGGGCAGCCAGGTAGATGCCCAGGAAGAGCCCAAAGTGCAAGAGCTGCAGCTCCCATCTGTCTGTGAAGGCCAGGAGGAGGAACTCAGTGATGGAGCTGCTGTTGGACATTTGCTGCCAACGATCAT